TATTCATTTTTATCTTGCGTTTAATAACGTTCCCCTGTAATAATTTCATGCCCTCTCGCTTGTATCTAAGTACCTTTAGAATTAAAATAATTGCAATTAAAAAAACACTTTTATTTGTCGCAATATAATAGATATAATATATACGTTTTTTACGTGATAGAGCCTTGCTGCAGCTACATTAGTAGTTTAGTTGTGGCACGAATAGGTCGGCTCGACCGGGGAAGGACCACGCTCTCACAGAATAACAGCGTAAAATAGCAGCTTAACACTGCTGTGTTTCGTATGGTTAGTGTAGAGAACCGGAGACCTGTTTTACTGGAAAAGGGGCGTTCCATCTTAGTCCTCACGGGTGACAATGTATCTGCATTTTCACGGATGAAAATGCATATGCATTGTGACAACATTATACACTAAACACTAATTGTATTCTTTGAAGCTTCTATGTATGCTAGAAGTGCCTTAGAGTTTTGATGATCGGTCAGTCAGTGAGTGACAAAATTAAGAAACTTTGACTAGTTATAATTCTTAAACTACTGGTTCAAATTAAATGAAATTTGAAATATACCGTGTTTATACAATACATGCTTGGTTAATTCAGGCTTCTAGTTTTATCTACGACGAAGTTATAGGGGTGGAAAATGGCCTGAACTGCTTCGAGAAAAGGATGGTACGCCCGTGCCCCCAGATATAACTATTCGTACCGCCATTTGTCAGTGACGATGAGATCTCTTTGACGTGTCTCATAATCGCGTCTTACTTAAGAAATGCGGTGATGCACTCTCTGAGACTCTTTCTTCTCCACTGCATGTTGGATATTTTTTTATAGGATAATAGTGAGAAACCAGCACACAGGCCACCTGTTGGTAAGTGGTTGTTGTTGCCCATATACATCTATATCTATCTACGATTACGAATCAAAATGCAGATGCATCGTCACTCGTGAGGACTTAGATGAATTGCTTTTAGGAAAAATAGAAGTTTTAGGACCTTTGTGATTCGAAAACACAGTTTATTCTCAAGTTATTAAAGAGCACATTTGTATGGATCGCAAAATAATTTGAAATTCTTCGTGTTCCGCGACCACGCCATAGTGGGTCTCTTACGTCGCTACTGCGGCATAAACATATTTTAAAAATAATAACCTACACATTATGATTTTGTCCTGAATCGTGGGTGCAGTTTACGTACATAAATGTCAATGGTCCAGACCTAGAACAATTTTTTTATAGGATAAGGATGACAAGCGAGCACACAGTCCACCTGATCGTAAGTGTTTGCTGTGGCCCATAGACATCTACATCTATCTTCGTTTGCGAATCAAAATGCAATTTCATTGTCAGCCGTGAGGACTAAAATGGAATTCCTCTTTTACAATAAAAAAGGTCTACGGCTCTTTACACTCCCACACGAAACACAGCAGCTTTAAGCTGCTATTTGACGCTGGTATTCTATGAGAGCGTGATGCTTCTCCGGTTGAGCCGACCCATTCGTGCTACAAAGTTACCACTAATATAGCTGCACCATGGCTTTAAAAGTTAAAATAAAAATAAAATCTTTTGAATCCTTAATTGATTAAATTAATATTTGAAGCGTAAAATGCTTTTTATTTAATTTTGTGAACTATTTGAATTCTATAACAAGTCAAATTCGAATGTTGGTATTGAAACTAGAGTTGAAAGAATAATACTTTTAACAATTGAACAGATTTTTTTGGAGTATTAAATTTCTATCTGAAATAATTGAGATTCTATTAAAAGAATACAATTAGATTCTTATATTTGAAACGAAATTATCAATCACTTTTATTATTATTTTTTGTCGATTGCTTTCACTTCAATTATAGGCAATTCAGTAAATAACCTGTCGTTATAAAGAGCTTAAAATTGTTTGATTGAAATTGCCTGTAATTGACATATTTTAGTAAGGGACTGTCGATGATTTTTTTTACACGAAATGAAGTTCATTATATTAAGCCCTTAATTGAAATACTTACCTCATCTTCTAACTTCAAACTATCTGACAAGAAGAACTGTTTTTTTAGTATCGATACTCTTAAACGTCGTAGAAAGATAAAAGAGAAAAGATGCTACTGCTACGGTATGATAAGGGGTAGTGGACTTGATCTAATAACCAAGTGATAGCTAGGGTGAAAGCATACCTATTCTGCATAAGATTTTGTCTGCGTAGGTTATTTACCACTATCTTAATTATTTCTGCCGAAAAATAGCAGCACTTTCATTGCAGTGTTTCGGCTTTGAGGAATTCGATCTTAGTCCTCAAGGGTATCAACGCACCTGTAACCTTCTTTGTTGGCTGGCTGCAGATGCCCATGGACTACAGTAGTCACTTATTATCAGTGAGAGTGTACTTTCGTTTGCCATTTATTTATTTATTGTAACGTAGTTCTTTATCGGACGGTACAGGTTTGACGGATTGGAGGAGAATCGGTCCATTAAAAGTAAATAAAATGATGCAAATCCATTTTACAAACCAGCTCAAATACTCAGTTTAATACCAAAAACTTATAATAAAAAAGGTGAGTCATTATTAAACTTAGTTTGAACAAGTAAAAGTAAAATACATTGGGATAGATGAAGGCACAGTCATAATTGATATTGAAAAAATCCTGCAAGTAAAATTTTGTTTATTTAATAAATGATTAACTAACACCCTTAAAAAGAATTGATAGGGTGACCGATAGGATGAGATAGATTCGCTTAAGCATTAAAAGATATTAAAGTATCACTTACTTATATTGGAAATTCAAAGAGTACTCGTAATGTTAAAAAAAGTGTAAGATTTTTTCGTCACTACCCCTTGTGTCATAGTGTAGACGGCCTTGGCGGCGAAATAAGGAAGTGAGATGGAATAATATCCATCTCTCTCGTACTTTTTCTTATCTTATCTCAACTTCATCCACTGACATCCTGCATATCTCACAGGTCTTCACTCTGGATAACAGCCTGTCACTCGAGAACCTTTCTTCCGCATCGGTTTCTCTTTGGATTATGTATCCCAACAATTGCAACTTCAGCTTACTGATCCATTGGGCTATGTCGGTAACACCGCCGCCTATACATGTACACGAGGCATCTTCAAGTGAAGTAGACTCTACTGTAACTGACCGCTAAGACATAAACGTTGTTAAAATATTTTTAACAATGCGAATATTATTTACGATATTTTACTCACAAGATTTATAACATGTTCAAAGATCTGGAAATATTCATGTTCAGTGAGTTCATTATTAATTTGCAGTCAGATATTTATAAAATGACACCTGTAGTTTTTTATCGCTTCGTCGGATGAACTGGCGTGGATTATTTCGTTTTTTTTTTGTGATCATTCCACCGTGATATAATTTAACAAAAGGGCTTAATCCGCGTCGAGTAACTTCATGTTTTTTTAATTTGTATTTTTTTGCAAATCAAAATGGTGAATAGTGTAATTTTGTTTTTTAGATTTTATTTTGTAGATAGTTTTTTTTTAATTTTATGCAAGGTTGAAGGTATCACATAATAAATGTAATATATATATATATATATATATATATATATATATATATATATATATATATATCCAAAACGTACTAATATATGTAATAAATTGCAATGCTTTCATAGAATTACAGTGTGAAATAGCAGCTTAATGTTGCTGTGTTTCGTATGGTGAGTTTAGGACCGGAGACCCTTTTTACCGTAAATGAGATCTTCCATCTTAGTCCTCAAGGGTGACAATAAACCTGCATAAAGATAAAATATGTAGATGTCTATGGGCCACAGCATCCACTTACTATTAGGTGGACTGTGTGCTTGTTTGCCTTATTGCGGGCAGGATCAAACTCGATTTGCTAGCGTATTGTGAGGCAAGCATTGGCCCCTGAGCTACTACGGCACTTCTTCTCTACTATTCTCAATAATAATTTAATAATTATTTATTGCACCTTAATTTCTATATCTACTTCTTTATAGAATTAATTGTTAAAAAGTTTTTTTTTTCGTTTCAGGTATGGGCGCAATTTCATCATTCATCAGGTAGAATTAAACTCGTCAATTAAATACAAACAATATTAAGAGGATTAAAGTCAAGAGTCAAAATTAAAACCATACAAAAATTTTCACATTAAATAATTCAATATAATATATTAATACAAAATATTTTATAAAAACTGGCCTTTACTTTACCTTTTTTTTTAAGTCCCGCTGTGCTTTTTGCTGGTTCTTCCCAGGGCAGAGGTTTTTCCCGAACCAGTGGTAAAGCTTAAATGACTTTTAATAAGTATTAATGTAATCTAAATTGAATAAAATTCAATTCTATTCTATGTTTCAACTCTTAAGCAATTTTTTTTTCGAGACTAGAAACATGAAAGATATAAAATGTTCTGGGAAGTTATATCTAACGTTCATAGCATATGTTTAATACAGTTAGAAAACGCTGACTTAGTTTAGATTAAATTTAATATCTGGAACATGGAAACGGTAGTGCTTTACAAAGAAACATGCTTGAAAATTGATGCTTTTAGATTTGTTCAAATAAAAAAAAATGCTTGTTCTTGAATAAAAATAAATTTATATTTTTATCGCGTTTTTTTATTGAATAAAGGTGATAAAAGAGCACACAGTCAACCTGATGGTAAGTGGATCCTGTGGCCCACGTATCATCATTCATCCTCGATAAAAATTAAAATGTAGATACGTTGTTACCCTTTGGACTAAGAAGATGGAATGTTTCGTTTCCAGTAAAACAGGTCTTCGGTTCTCTACACTCACCACATGAAACACAGCAGCATCAAGCTGCTATTTTACCTCGATCTAGCCGGTCCATTTGTGCCAAAACTATAATATAACTGCAGTATGGAGCCACCGCGTTTTTTTTTAATACCAGATCTTTCGAGCGCTTTTCAGCAACGATGGTCACGGGGGAGACTGAGGCTACTTTAAAACGAACCTTCAGCGATTAAATATAAGGTATTGTTATTAAGGTAGGGCTGGTCACGTCTGTCACAGAAGCGATAACCGTTGGAGTAGGTGTGTCATAGAGTGGAGACCACGCTTAGGTAAACGTAGTGTGGGACGCACTCTGGCTAGATTCTACTACTGAATGAGAAGAACTACTCAAGGTACTACTACTAAAGAATCTACTCAAGGTAGCTGGCAGCAGCTGGATGCGTGAAGCCGAAGATTAGGCTAAGTGGCGTGCCTTGGGAGACGCCTATGTCCAGCAGTGGACTGCCGCAGGCTGATGATAATCACGATGATTACGGTAGCTTTTTTTTAAATAATAAGTTAACGTTAAATGTGATAAAATCGTTTAAATTAGTTGTATTTAATGTGTAGATAGTATTCGAGTAAATATTAGCGGCACAGAAGAAATAATTCTGAAAATATTATTTTGAATTTGGAAGAGTTATATTGTTTTCTCTTCTACTACTACTAAGCGGATAAAAAAATGTTTATGTGTTATACACTAAGGTTATACACAGTCGTTTACTGCCTACATACAAAATTTCATGGTAGTAGTTTTTGCGTGAATCGTGAACACAGAATTTTTCAACAGATATATTAAACGTATAGAAGATTCGGTTCACCAACAATTGTCACACTAATACTTATGCTTAATTCTAATCTAATACAGTAATATAAACTAAGAGCACCATTAATAATAGGTAAATACCTCACCTCAGGTATTTCTTCCAAGCTTAATGTTATCAAAGAGACAAAAATATGCAATACAAAACTAAACAAAATAATGCTCAAAAAAGTAAACTGAAATAAAAATTAGGATATTGATAAATTTTGTGCCGCAAAACTTCAAAAGACTCGGGGTACATATGTATATCGGAAATTACGACAGGAGATTTCACTTGTGATCTCGGAAATACATCAGGATAGCGTTAACTGTTAAAAATAATAAAAGTGTGAGAGCAGATGTTAAACTTGCTCTCTTGCTTACGCAGTTTAATAATTATCAGTAATAAGACAACGTAACGCACTATACATTCAGTATAGTGAAATTACAGTTCGACTACACCGTAACACGTCTCCGCCACAATCACACACCAGTGTAACGTGAGGTACGTAAAACATGATAACACCAAAATATGTAAACCAACAGCAACACTACTATCTCAATGTAACACAGGGCAGCCTGTCAGCAACCCCAATCCCCTTTGCCTGCACTAGAAGAATTGCAACAACGAACAGAACCAGGACACTATCTTAGCACTAGTAGAATGACCACACTCGTTGAATGACTTAGGCGGAATCTCCCGCGCACGGCACCTACAGTGAACTTTATACTACAGACACAAGAGGGGGTTTCTCGATATACCCTCCCTTCTACCTCGATCCAACCGGGTATTTTATAGACGCTCCGACATGTATAATATGCTATATTATTATAAGTATTTAAAAGTTTACAAAGACTGGATATTGGGGAATTAAATCCTTGTACAGTTCTACGAAGGGGCAGCGAAAGAGGAGTAATGAATTTACGAGGATATCTACTTGGGAAGAAGGTAGCATTGATTAAAATTATAAGCTAAACCTAACTGCGATCAAATCCGTAAAATTAGTTTTGTTTAATTCGTACATTGTATTCGAGTTAAAATAAGAAATAACTTTAAATGAAACTAATTTTACGGATTTAATTCCGTTTAATTTTAACTTTTTTAATTACCGTAAAGCATCCAATCAAATTAAGAAATTTTCATCTATGAATATATAATCAAACTACGCAAAAAGAGAACAAGCGGTTCTGTTTTTGCGTAGTTTTATATTTGTATTTTGTAAAGGAATATTAATTATCCTATTATATTTTATTTTCGTGAACCATTGAATAACCGTCATGAAAAATCCAATATTCGAATTACGTGCGGTGAATGTAATCCGTTAGCCTAGTTAGTTTCGTTAGAATATTCGAGGTTTTTTTTAAATATAGAATAAAAGCGGCAATCGAGAATACAGTCTATCTAATGGTAGGAGGATGCTGTGGCCTATAGATATTTACATTTATCGTCGATTAAGAATCAAAATGAAGTCTTCAGGACTAAGAATGTCTCGTTTCTAGTAAAAGGCTATCAACATTCACCTTTGAAACACAGCTGTACTAAGCTGCTATTTCACAGTGGTATTCTCTGTAAGAGCGAGGTTCTTCTATGGTCGACCGACTCATTCGTGCTGTAACCATAATATAGCTGTAGCATGGCTCTACTACGTAGGAGCTAACTCACTGTAAGTGAAAAAATATGATAATTATAAAAATGAATGAGTTCACAGTAAATCAACTTAAAATAGCAGCTTAATGCTGCTATTTGAAGTTGGTTTTTAAATGTAGAGAACCGGAGACCCTTTTCAATGGAAACGAGGCATTCCATCTTAATACCCAGGGGTGACAACGCTTCCGCAATTTGACTCTAAATTGAGGATAATGCTGTGGAATTCTCTTACCATCAGGTGAACTGTGTGCTCATCCGTCACCTTTGTATATTCTATAAAAAAAACTGTCAGTCGCAGAACTGCACGTCAGAAGTAAAAAATTCTTCGCATCACAAATTTGTAAAAATTATTTTTGGGTTGTTAAGAAAAACTTTTTAGGTAGTATTTTTATCAACGTATTAATGTAGTACCTAATAACATTTTCATTTATTGCGTTGTTTTACATGAAAAACAATTATTGTTATTTATGTATAAAATACAAACAAATGTATAAGTACTCATTAATTTTATAAAATTTAATCAATCGGATTTTAAACATTACTTTTATTAATTTAGTTTATCTGAGCGTGACGGTCACGCGAGTTCAGTGATTTTTCCCCATCCCAATAGTGCCCACCGTACCGAAAGAAGTTATCACTTAAAAAAATTACCGTGAGTTACTTCAAATCGACTTTCCCAAATTTTACTTTAGCTTTAGTTTTAACATGTTCTACAATAATCTGCTACGGCGGAAGCCGCGTGTGAGTGTACCGAGTTGTGAATTTAATTTTTAACGTAACAGTGTTTTTTTTAAAATTCTTTTTTGGTTTCCACTTTCGATACCGGACTCGATTCGACCGTTGACAAAGGATCGCGTATGGACCTCGATTTTCGATGGAAAAATTTCGGATTTTTTTAAGCTGTCTAGATAACCGATTTGTGTGCGTACTGAATGGTATCCCTTTGTAAACAAAGTTATAGAATACAGAGCGTTTTTAAAATACGTGACTAGGTTTTGATGTGCCGTTGTCGTTGTAATATACTGACCTATTTTTAAGTGTCGTTGTTGATTTTAACGACTTTATTTACTTTGTAACAAGCGATTTAAATTCATCATCATTATTAGAGCCCTTCACAAGTCCACTGCTGGACATAGACCTGCCCCAAGGAATGCTACAAAGCAGAGTCCTGAGGCAACCGCATCCATCGACTTCCTGCATGTCTTACCAGGTCGTCACTCCATCTCGTGGGGGGTCGCCCTACACTTCGCCTACCGGTACGAGGCTGCCACTCGAGAACCATTTTTCCCCACCGGTTGTCGGTTCTTCGAGCTACATAGCCAGCCCATTGGCACTTCAGCTTACTAATCCGTTGGGCTATGTCAGTCACTCTGGTTCTACTGCGGATATCCTCATTTCTAAGTTTATCACACATGGAAACCCCGAGAATAGCCCTTTTCATAGCTTGCTGAGTGCCCTTGAGCGTCCTCATACGGCCAGCAGTGAAGGACCACGTCTTAGATCCATAAGTTATCACTAGCAAAACGCACTGGTTGTACAATCTCGTTTTCAGATCTGAGCAGCAGCGTCTTCCTATTAACGACTGAAAGTAAAAGAACTGCGGTTGCCAACCCGCTTGCTAACTGTGGCAACTATGACAAATATTCCCTCTATGAGAAAATCTATGGAGGAGGCTTATGTTAAGCAGTGAACTTTATTAGGGTGTAACGGTAAGCATTTTAAGGTTTGTTTGTAATTTTATGTTTTATAAGCAATGTGTAGAGCGGCCTCTCACTAGATGGAGTGAAGACCTGGTAAGACTATATATTATTATATTAGCGAGCTATGGAGAGGGCTATGCTCGGAGTTTCTCTGCGTGATAAACTTAGGAATGAGGATATCCGCAGTAGAACCAGAGTAACCGACATAGCCCAACGGATTAGTAAGCTGAAGTGGCAGTGGGCTGGCCATATAGCTCGAAGAACCGACAACCGATGGGGAAGAAAGGTTCTCGAGTGGCAGCCTCGTACCGGTAGGCGAAGTGTAGGGCGTCCCCCCACGAGATGGAGTGACGACCTGGTAAGACATGCAGGAAGTCGATGGATGCAGGTGGCTCAGGACCGTGCTTTGTGGCATTATTTGGGGGAGGCCTATGTTCAGCAGTGGACTTGTGAAGGGCTGTAATGATGATGACGTGGTAGAGCCATGCTGCAGCTATATTAGTAGTATAGTTGTAGCACGAATGGGTCGGCTCGACCGGGGAAGGACCACGCTCTCACAGAATACCAGCGTAAAATAGCAGCTCAATGCTGCTGTGTTTCGTATGGTGAGTGTAGAGAACCGGATACCCTTTTCACTGGAAAAGAGGCATTCCATCTTAGTCCTCACGCAACGCAGTGACAACGCATCTGCATTTTGATTCGCAACGAGGATAGATGTAGATGTCTATGGGCCGCAGCAACCACTTACCATCAGGTGGACTGTGTGTTCGTTTGTCACCCGGTTCTATAAAAAAAACTTGATATCGATGGTTGCAGGTGGCTCAGGACCGTGCTTTGTGGCATTCCTTGGGTGAGTCTTATTTTCAGTCGTGGACTTGTGAATGGCTGCAATGAATGAATGAGTTATCTTGTATACGACATGTCGATAGAAGAAAAGTTGACAAAAGAGTAATACATTCAACCAGGTCCCTATTTAATAAAAGTAACAATTTACAATTTGCATTAATATTTTATATGTCTGGTCAATAAAAATTAAAATTGCAAAATACCATGGCATAGTGGAAATTTCAAAAGACTGTATAATTATAGCTACAATTTTACATTTTTTACTTGCCACGCAATAATTTACAATGTCAGAAAAGCTGGTATTTCTTTCTCTTAAACGTTTAACTAGAATTTTCTATTAGATCGTAGAGTTTCCAAACATCAATTTAACAAGACAAATATCCATACCCGGAACAATTATTTGCATATATTTAAGTAGATTTTATAAGTATATTATATCGACATAATTATATATATAATTTTAGCCTTTATCATACTTTTCTTTTTAATCTTTGCTACACTGCTCTTAAACGTCTCTGTTTAGTCTAATGGTTGACTGGGAGAGAATACCCCACGGCACTAAGCCGTATCGCCGTAGTGCCATATTATGTACAACTTTTGCATTTAAGTTTAAATAAATAAAAAAATGCCAAGTTAAGATCTGTCAAATTACTTTTATTCAATTTAAAAATTATTTTAAGGTTTGCATCATTCAATTCGTCTTCGTTCCATTTTCCCTGTTCTAAAAGTAACGTCGTAAAACAAACATACAGAGCTCGAGAAGCCATCAAACGGAATGTCATCGAGTAAAGGACATTAACGGTGAGAGTGTTGTCACATTTGTAAACCTATCAAATAGGTTTCCAAAACGGTAATGTCTTCCTTTTGTCTTTGCAAACAAAGTTTTCTCTCCCGTACAGTATGTAGAGATTCAACAAAATACGAATGTCGCAGGAAACAATTGTATTAATAATAATGACTCCATCTAGTATTTATTAACGTGTGTATATAGGAGGTCATTACACTGTTTATGTTTAGCGTATTTTTTTAGAATAAGTGAGACAAACGAGAATATAATCTACCTGATGGTAAGTAGATGCTGTGGCTGATAGTCACTTACATCTGTATTGAATATTAGGAATCAAAATGCTGATGCATTGTCTCCCCCCCTCCCCCTCCCTCCAAGAAGTAAGATGTTTTCATAAAAAATGGTCTCTAGATCTCTACAGCATTGAGTCCACATAGAGTATAGCATAGAGAGCTCCAGAATTCTTCAGCATACGAAACACAGCAGCATTAAGCTGCTATTTACGCTAGTATTCTGTGAGAGCATAGTCCTTCCCTGGTCGAGTTGACCTATTCGTTCTATAACCATAGAAACAGCGATACTCTACCACGTGTAAAATGGTATTGTACATCTGGCATATTAAAGATGACGATGAAAAGAGGTTTTACATCGCTACCACCCTGCATCAGATGCACTAGCTCAAAATAAATAAAATATTGTGTCGACAAAAATATATAATCATCATCATTACGACCTTAACTAGTCCTTCCATACACTCAAGCCTCATTCAAGGAGTACCGCAAATCACGGTTCTGAACCACCTGCATCCATCGAATACTTGCATCTCTTACTAGGTCGTCAGTTCATCTAGTGGTTACCAACTTAAATCTAGTCGTTATTATATATACAACTAACATCACACACACAATAATCTGGATATCGACAACAGCGCCACCTACCGGATCAAATCGTAAATCTAAATACATTTCTAATCAACATGATCATTAATAGTATAATTTCATCGCAATCGGTCCAGCCGTTTAGGAGGAATTCAATCATATACACTCGAACAGAAGAATTATATTTATAAAGACAAAGATTCATCATCATCATCACCATTACAGCCCTTCAAGTCCATTGCTGAACATAGGCCTCCCCCAAAGAATGCCACAAAGCACGGTCCTGAGCCACCTGCATCCATCGACTTCCTGCATGTCTGACCAGGTCGTCACTCCATCTCGTGGGGGGACGCCCTATACTTCGCCTACCGGTACGAGGCTGCCACTCGAGAACCTTTCTTCCCCATCGGTTGTCGGTTCTTCGAGCTATGGCCAGCCCACTGCCACTTCAGCTTACTAATCCGTTGGGCTATGTCGGTTACTCTGGTTCTACTGCGGATATACTCATTCCTAAGTTTATCACGCAGAGAAACTCCGAGCATAGCCCTCTCCATAGCTCGCTGAGCGACCTTGAGCTTCCTCATACGGCCAGCAGTGAAGGACCACGTCTCAGTTCCGTAAGTCATCACTGGCAACACGCACTGGTTGTACAATTTCGTTTTCAGGTTTTGAGGTATGTCTGACGAGAAGATGTGTCGTAGCTTCCCGAACGCTGCCCAGCCGAGTTGAATCCGTCGATTGACCTCTCGGTCGAAGTTGGTGTAGTGTATTTCGTAAATAAGTAAATAAGACACGGGTAAGCGGATTGACGGTTTATTCGTGACTGTTCGACAAGCCTTTTACAATCAATCACTTATATATTTAATGTACCCTCATTAGAATCCTCCCCCCTTAATTAAGACTTACAATTAGTTATATATAAGTATTTTATACTATACTGTTATACAGAAAAGGAAAAAAAAATCTTGAAAATATTTTTTAAAAAAAAGGTATATAAAAATAATATAGTGCAATGGTAACTACTCTTTATAGCTTGGGGGGTTATCCAAACGGCACTTGCGTACCGGCCGGAAGACCTGGGGCGGCGTTGCGGGCGGCACAGGCGACGTATGAGCTGATGGAGCACGAAGTGTTGACGTTTCCCTTGCCGTATCTAAGCAATCACTCTTATCTATTATTTCGGTTCCCTCCGGTGCTTTTGATTTCCTCCCGGTGTCTTTTACGGCAGGGTTTATTCTAGGCGCATTAATTTCCTCTGCACCGGTGCAAGACAACGACTCGGAACTCGAATTTGGCTGACTATTACTACTACGGGGACAAATCAGTGAACTCCTAATTCTACGTTTTAGCTGGTCTATATGCTTATGTGACTCCTTACCTATAGTGTCTAAAACTTTGTAGTCCGTTACGCCCAAACGTTGCGTCACTTGTCCGGCTGTCCACTTGTCACTCCCCTGATATCGGCGAAGCCATACATCCTCACCCGGCTGCAGGCCACGTTCACCAGTGGGAGCGTTCTCTTTCTGGTTTATTTGAGTTTTAATAATTTTATTCTCAATATCCGGTCTAAGTACGTCTAGTTTAGTACGTAATCTTCTTCCTAACATGAGAGAAGCGGGACTTTCGCCCGTATTACAATGTTCGGTATTTCGATAATGCAATAGGAAAGTGTTTAAAAATAAATTTATATCTTTATTTTCCCTCACTGCCTTTTTAATAACTTTCTTGACAGTGCGGACTGCGTTTTCCGCGGCACCGTTTGAAGCCGGGTGGTACGGTGCGGTGAAAACATGCTGTATCCCATTATTTGTTAAAAACTGAGAAAATTCTCTACTGATAAATGGCGGCCCATTGTCTGATACTAATTGTTTAGGTAGACCCCACCTAGCAAAAACTTCGGAAAGTTTAACTATAGTGTGGCTAGCTGCTGTACTCGGTACATAAAAAACCTCTAGCCATTTAGTTCTGGCATCAATTATTACCAAGTAAATTTTATTGAAAATTGGCCCTAAAAAATCTATGTGTATACGAGACCAAGGCTTAGCCGGCCATGGCCACGGGCTTGGAGTGTGCCGTTGGGGCGCGTCCGCCTCGGCCGCACACACGACGCACACTCGACACATCGTTTCGATTGCCTCATCGATCCCCGGCCACCACACATAGCTTCGAGCTACCGCCTTCGTTTTGACGATTCCCATGTGGCATTCGTGGAGTTCGTTTAACACCCTACCCCTGCAATTCTCCGGTATGACTACTCTATGACCCCACATGATACACCCTAGTTCTTCGTATTTTCTCGTATTGAAGATTTTCCTGAAGTATTTTTACCACTTCTTGATACGATTTATCTCCCGGTTTAATCGGACTTGTTAAATTACTTAATAATTCGTACGCTTCGTCTCCCATACCGGCGATTAATGTCGGCAACCACATTTCGTTTTTCACTGCATTTACCTTAAGGTACATTTCTAGTCTCTCAACATATAAAGTCCAGTTTCCCGTTTTGACGTTGAATTCACTCACTTTGCCGATCGACATTATATTTAATATGCGTCCACGTAAATTTACCGAAAAAATAAAAACGACTTGATCCTCGTCGCCACTGTAGTGTATTTCGTAAATAAGTAAATAAGACACGAGTAAGCGGATTGACGGTTTATTCGTGACTGTTCGACAAGCCTTTTACAATCAATCACTTATATATTTAATGTACCCTCATTACAGTTGGACTTACCTAATCGGACTATTTGTCCCAGGTAAACATACTCGTCAACAACTTCGAGCTTAGTGCTCCCAACAACTACCGGCATAGGTGTGACATGGACATTGAACATGATCTTTGAAACAGAAACAGAAACAGAAACAGAAACTTTTTTATTCAATATAGATTATAAATAATACTTATTGAAAGTCACTCTTTTGTTTGATTACCACTGGTTCGGAAAAAACCTCTGTCCTGGGAAGAACCAGCAAGAAATCCAGCGGGACTTTTTTTTTAAAATAACAGCTTACAATCATAATGTTACACAAATTAACAACACAACAAATTAGAAATAGCTTGGTAGCGATCACCTCATTTCCAGGGGTTATTATCATCCATAAATTCCTTAATATTATAATAACCCTTTTTATACAAACTTAGTTTAATAAAGTTTTTGAACTTTGAACAGGTCAAACTTTGTATATTTTCTGGAATTTTGTTGTAAAAGCGTATACATCGCCCCAAGAATGAATTACTGACTCGATGGAGTCGAGTAACTGGTACTACTTGCTTGTGTCTGTTCCTAGTATTTACAGAATGAATATCACTTATTTTTGTAAAACTACTTTTATTTTTGTGTACGTACATTACATTTTCATAAATGTATTGAGAGGCCAAAGTTAATATATTAATTTCCTTAAATTTTTGTCGCAGCGACTCTTTAGGCTTTAAATCATAAATTGCTCTTATGGCCCTCTTTTGCAAAACAAATATAATTTCAGTGTCAGCTGCGTGTCCCCATAGCAAAATACCATACGACATTATGCTATGGAAGTAGCTGAAGTAAACTAGTCTAGCTGTTTCAACACTGGTTAGACTTCTAATCTTTTTTACAGCATATCCTGCAGAACTAAGTCTGCTTGCTAGTTTTGATATATGGGGGCTCCATTGAAGCTTAGCGTCTAGTGTGATTCCAAAAAAATGGTGGTATCTACAAGACTCAGTTTCTCCCCATTTAAAATTACATTAGTATTTAATTGTTTGATATTTGGAGTCACGAATTTCATACATTTTGTTTTAGTGCCATTTAAATGCAAATTATTAACATCGAACCAATTTACTAATTTAGATATAGCATTATTTACTTCGTCATATTTTAGTAATTGTCGACTTAATTTGAAAATTAAAGAAGTGTCATCTGCAAATAATACTATATCATGGTTATCCCCTACTATGTAAGGTAAGTCATTAATGTATACAAGAAACAGAAAGGGGCCGAGAATTGAGCCTTGAGGCACGCCCATTTGTACCATCGATACGGAAAAGCTCATATTGTTAATGACAACTATTTGCGTTCTCTTACTTAAATATGAAATAATTAATTTAAGGGCATCACTTCTTACATCGTAGTGTTGAAGTTTCCTGATTAATGTTTCATGGTGAACACAATCGAAGGCCTTGGATAGGTCACAAAATATACCCAAAGCATCCTGTGAATTCTCCCATGCATTAAAGATATATTTAATCAGCTCAACACCGGCATCAGTTGTCGAGCGACCCCTTGTGAAACCAAATTGATTTTTATGAAGTAAATTAAATTTTGTTTTGTCCATGTTCATCTTAAGACCTATCCGTTGGGAAACACTATCGAAGTCATTGAGCATAGTGCTTAGGTCCTTCAGCGATTCTGCCATAAGGACTATATCGTCGGCAAATCGAAGGTGAGTGATGTACTCGCCATTGATGTTGATACCGTATCCTTTCCAGTCCAGAAGCTTGAAAACGTCTTCCAATGCAGCGGTGAAGAGTAGAATAGAATAGAATAGAATGATTTTTATTCATTATGGATTATTACATAATACTTATTGAAAGTCATTATTTTATTTACCACTGGTTCGGAAAATACCTCTGTCCTGGGAAGAACCAGCAAGAAACCCAGCGGGACTTTTTTTTTTAAACATAATTTCACTTAACAATAATTTTGATTATACAATTTTAAATGAATTTTCATAGAACCAGCATGGTGGCGATCACCTTATTCCCAGGGGTTATTTTCACTCATGTATTCCTTGATATTATAATAACCCTTTTTGTACAGTTTTTCTTTAATAAAACTTTTAAACTTGTTTATTGACAAACTTTGAACATGTTCTGGGATTCTGTTGTAAAAGCGTATACATTGCCCCATAAATGAATTACTAATTCTGTGGAGTCTTGTAAGTGGCATTACAAGCTTATGTTTGTTCCTAGTGTTTAAGGTATGAACATCCTTATTCTTATTAAAGCTATTTATGTTTTTATGTACATACATTACATTTTCATAAATATATTGCGATGCCAAAGTTAATATGTTTATTTCTTTAAATTTTTCTCTAAGGGACTCTTTACAATTTAGATTATCAATCGCCCGTACGGCTCTCTTTTGCAAAACAAATATAGCTTCAATATCAGTCGCATTACCCCATAGCAAAATTCCATAAGACATTACGCTATGAAAGTAACTAAAATACACTAACCTAGCTGTCTCAACATCTGTGAGACTTCTAATCTTTCTTACAGCATATGCTGCAGAACTAAGTCTGCTTGCTAATTTAGATATATGGGGGCCCCATTGAAGTTTCGCGTCAATAGTAATACCGAGAAAAGCAGTGGTATCCACAAGACTCAACTCCTCCCCATTTAAGAGCACATTGGTTTTCGAATGTTTTACATTAGGTATTGTAAATTTAATACATTTTGTCTTATTGCCGTTTAAGAGCAAATTGTTGGCGTTAAACCAATGTACTAGTTTCGATAGAGCATTATTTACATCGTCATATTTAATTGACTGCCGTTTCAGTTTGAAAATTAAAGAGGTATCGTCAGCAAATAATACTATATCGTGATTGTCCCCTACAAGATAAGGTAAGTCATTAATATAGATTAAGAACAGGAATGGGCCAAGAATCGAGCCCTGAGGAACGCCCATTGATACTACCGATCCGGAGGAACATTTACCATTAATGACGACTTTTTGAGTTCTGTTACTTAAATATGAAGTAATAAGTTTAAGCGCCAAATTTTTTACACCGTAATGTTGTAGTTTCCTGATTAATGTATCATGATGAACACAATCGAAAGCCTTGGAAAGGTCACAGAAAATACCTAAGGCATCTTGTGAATTCTCCCAGGCATTAAAAATATATTTCATAAGCTCAACACCGGCGTCAGACGTCGAGCGACCCCTTGTAAAACCAAATTGATTTTTATGAAGTAATTTATTTGTATTAAAAAAAATTAACAATTGATCCAAAATTATTTTTTCAAAAATTTTACTGAGAGTTGGTAGTACAGAAATAGGTCTATAATTAGCGGGGTCCAATGTACTACCAGATTTAAATAAAGGTATTACTTTACTATACTTCATTAAATCAGGAAACACACCAGAATCGATACAAGTATTAAAAATAATAGCAAGATGAGGTGCAATTAAATCTATTATGGACGTAATCACTGTAACGGAAATCCCCCACAAATCTGCGGTTTTCTTTACATCAATGGTTTTGAAGTATTTTACAATATTATGCGGTAATACTTTTTCAAATCTAAATTCTTTTAAACAGGTATTAACATTCTGTTTAAGTAATGATTCGGCGACAGTTGGAGAAGCATTCAATGACTCTGTTGTCAAGATAGGAACATCAGTGAAATATTTCTCAAACACCGCTGCAACTTCTTGATCTGATTTAGTCAATTCATTATTAATTTTTAATTGATAGTTTGAATTACGAGGTTTCTCATTACCGGTTTCGCTGTTAATTATACTCCACGTCATTTTAATTTTATTCTTAGCTGTCTTAATTTTGTTACTAATATGTAATGATTTGGCTGTGGAGCAAACTCTTTTAAACATTTTAGAATAATTTTTTACATATTCTTTAAAAGCATCGGAAAGATTATACGATCTTTCATGGTAAAGGTCATATAACCTTCGTCTGCTTTTATGAATTCCTACTGTCGCCCACTCATTAAATGCCTTGCGACTGTTTCTGGAGAATGTTTTAGAAGTGAATGTTTTATTAAATTCATTGTTTATAAAGGTAAATAATTCTCTATATAAATAGTCTGCATTGTTCTTATAAGAAAGGGATGGAAGGATTTTTAACATATTACTTCTAAATCTCTCCAGGCGTTTTGCATTAATAGGAACAAACACAATTTTCTCATTTACCTGTTTTTTGTGCATATAAGGTAACGAAACCAGTTGTCCACAGTGATCTGAACTAAGTTTTTGAATTATTGATTTGTTGATTGGTACAACACCTGCAAAAATATTATCAATACAAGTTGCACTACACCCTGCAATACGTGTAGCTTCAAAGAATAAATTATTAAGATTATAGGATTTGAACAAAGAACAGAATTTAATACTGATGGAAGAAGTTTCCAGGAGATTGATATTAAAGTCTCCACACACTACAAGTGATTTATTCTGTTTATTAAGCTTAACTAAAACTTCTTCCATAATTTTTTCAAAAGTATCATAACTTGAACATGGGGGTCTGTAAACACTGACAACAATAAGGTGCT